GCCCTCTCTAGTGGAGCAGTGCAGGAAGGCCTTACACAGGAATATGGCCATGAATTGCTCCAAGATGCAGTTGAGCAATGCCTGCATGGCCACGCTGTTGCTGATGAAGGAGGTAGAAATTTTTAGCCCCTGGGGCAGGATGTCACAAACAGCTATTTTCACGTTATTGGGGATCCACTCTCATTCTTTAGCATATCCAGTTTCCCAATACCATTTATTGAAGACTATCCTTTCTCCCTTTTGCATTCTTGTCTTCCTTGTCAAGGATTAGTGGATGGTGTACATATAGGTTTATTTCTGGGCTCTGTATTATGTTCCATGGTCCACATGTCTGTTTTCATATCAGTAACATACTGCACTGATTAATCTCTGTTCGTAGTATACCTCCAGCTTTGGTCATTTGATGCCTCCAGTTTTGTTCATTTTTCTCAAGATTGCTTTGGTTTCTGTGGGTCTTTTGTGGTTCTCTGTCAATGGAATGAATGGTGGCGGTGAAATCTGTGTTCTAATGCAGCTCTGGGTCAGTAATGTCTGAATCTACAAGGGCTGGTACTATTCTGTCTGGGCCTTTCTGTGATGTACGAAGAGGCAAATTCCATTGTTGTGTTCTTCACAGGTCAAGAGTGTTCACGCCCTTTCCTCCTCCTCATGACTAGGCAGAGGAGAGGCCAACATGTCACTGACATTAGAGAAAATTTCTCCTGGGTATCTTGTGGTTCAGTCCCTTTTGCTCCTGCACAGGATCTATCTCAAGAGGAAGGCACGAAATTGGGCAATTAGCTCTGTTGGCTTCTTCTCTAACCAGAAGCTTGAGGTTGTGTTCCCCTGGGTCTTAGTCCTGTTGTTAAATGTGGATCTTCCTGCACATTGTTCTAGTGCTTGTAAATAGGCATGAAAGGTGCTAAAGATCCCTAGGCTATGGAGGCCTAAGAGATAAGTATTAAGGTAGCAGCCTGGACCAGCAAGAATTTGCATTGATTAGAGCAAGGTGGGGAACCAATGCTTAGTCTACATATGTGTGGTTTTGTGAAGACTGAGAGAGAGAAAGAAAATATGTGTTTACATTGCTTGCATACCCTGTGTTTTTAGTGGGTCACTGATGCACACACTGACTTGTATAATGCTACTAGCCACATGTGGGCATGAAATTTAAATTACCCAAATTAAAATTTTGGTTCCTCACTTGCAGTAGCTATATTTCAGTTCCTCAATAGTTACATGAGGTTAGTGCTGCTATAGTGGACAATGCAGATATAGAACACTTCCATCATTACAGAAAGTCTTATCGAATCATGCTGATAAAAGAATATGGAGAGCTGGAAATCTCTTGCCAAGGCACGTGTGTGTGTGTTTGTGTTGATGTGTTTATGTTGCTTCTTTTTATATTGTTTGTGTGTTGTGTTTGACTACATGTGATTCTTAGTGTGTGTAGAGGAGATTTTGTGTGGGTGGTTTGTGAATTGTCTGGATAAATGAATGTGGTGTTTGCATGTTTTTACAAATAGCTTTACCAAGGTGTAATTGTTATACAAAAAATGTACATAATTAACGTACACAATTTGATATGTTTGAACATGTGCATACACCCATGAAATCCTCCCCACACTCAAAGCAATAGACTTATCCATCACCTCCAAAAGTTTCCTTTGTCTCTGTTTTGTGTGTGTGGTAAGAAAACTTAACATGAGATTTACCCTTTTAATGAATGTTTAAGTGTAGAATATAGTGCAGTAAACTACAGGTACCGTGCTGCTCAGCAGGTCTCTAGAACTAATTCACTTGTATAACTGAAACTTCACTTGAACTGAATAACAACTCTATATTTTCTCCTCCCCTCAGCCATTTGTAACCACTAAGGATTCTCTGCTTCTATGAGTTTGACTATTTTACGTACCTCATAAAAGTGAACACGGAATATTTGTCCTTCTGCGTCTGGCTTAATTCACTTAGCATAAAGTCCTCCAAGTTCATCCATGTTGTCACAAATAGCAGGATTTCCTTCTTTTTTAAGGCAGAACAAAATCCATTGTATGTATATGCCACATTCTGTTGATCCACTCATCTGTCAATGGACATTTGGGATTTTTCCCTAACTTAACTATTGTGATTAGTACTGCAATGAACATGGGAGTGCAGATATCTCTTTGAGATCCTGATTTCAATTCTTTCTGGTGTATACCCAGATGTGGGATTGCTGGATCATGTGATAGTTCTATTTGTAATGTTTTGGAGAACCTCTATACTGTTTTCCATAGTGGCCATTCCATTTTACATCCTCAAAAACAGTGTAGAAAGATTCCTGTTTATGTGTCTTTTAAGCTGTGCATGACAGAGTGTTTCATTTTTTTTTTTTTTTTTTGGAAGATTAGTCCTGAGCTAACTACTGCCAATTCTCCTCTTTTTGCTGAGGAAGACTGGCCCTGAGGTAACATTCACGCCCATTTTCCTCTAATTTATATGCGGGATGCCTACCACAGCATGGCTTTTGCCAAGGGGTGCCATGTCGCACCCAGGATCTGAACCGGCGAACCCCAGGACACCGAGAAGCAGAACGTGCAAACTTAACCACTGCACCACCGGGCCGGCCAGCAGAGTGTTTCATTTTAAACTTGCATGTAAGTTGATATGAATCCATGAAAACCTCTCCACTTTCTACCAGGATGAATATAGGTCAGAGAGGGCCAAAAACCAGCACCTTGTGTTTGTTTCTCTGTCACAGTGAGTCCCTCTGTGTGTCTATTTTTGTGTATAGCACACTCACATTCTAATTCTCTTCACTTTGCATGTGTGTAGATCAGAGGGCTAAGTGAGTGATATAGAAATATGTGTATGCATTTCACCTGGTGAAACAGCCTTACCCTTCTCTTGTCCCAGCTCTAGATATAAACAGGCGGCTCTTTATGATAAGCAGAGCCCTCTTTATGATAAGTTGGTGGCAATTGGTGTTTGTGGTTTGAAGGCTACTGAACTTCCCTGGGGCCCCAAATTTTCTTCATTAATATTCAATGAATTCTACATTTCCACTTTGGGAAACACGATGTAGTCAATTTTGGAACCTTGTCTAGTTAATCAAATGACTGTGAATTCTGATACAACTCCTCGGTCCTGCAGAATCTGTAATATATCAGTTCTCTGGCCACATCATTGGGCAGATTCTCATGTCAGTCACTTTGTATGTATGCTCACAACTCAGCCATTTTGAAGCATGGGAGATGACAGGGAAGAGAGAGATAGTGGAAGATATGAAGTAAGTTATTTATTGGCAACTGTATTAAAAATGCCATGTTTCAAGTGCTGTGGATGTACTAAGCTTCTGGGGACATCGTCTGGGTCCTTAATCTTTCTCTGCTGTGAGAGAGAGACCACAGAAGTAAACATACTTTTTCAAGAAAGTATTTGATCTTGCTGGATGGCTTCCGCATACCTTCGTTATCTTTAATTCTTGATGTGTGATCTTGGTCACTCCTTCTGCCAAAATGAGGTTATTTTTTGAAATTTTTCGTCACTCTCTTTCTGACTGCTATTTTTAGTCATTCATTTAATAACTTTTTTGATATATTTTCTAAATAAAAATTTTTTATTGTGGTTACAATATATGTAACATAAAATTTACCATTTCAATGGTTTTCAAGTGTACAGTTCCATGGCATTAAGTACCTTCCTGTCTTGTACAACCTTCACCACCATGACCCTCCGGAAGTTTTTTATCTTTCCAAACTGAAACTGTACACATTGAGCAATAACTCCTCGTTTTCCTTCTCTATAGCTGTTGGAAACCACAGTTCTACCTTTTGTCTCTGTGATTTTAACTATTCTAGGAATCTCATATAATTGGAATCATACAGTATTTATACTTTTGTGACTGGTCTATTTTACTTAGCATAATGTCTTCAAGGTTCATCCATGTTGCAGTATGCACAGGATTTCCTTCCTTTTTAAGGCTTATAATATTCCATTGTACACATATATCACATTTTGTTTATCCATTCGTCAATGGACACAAGTTGCTTCTATCTTTTGGCTATTGTGAATAACAGGTGTACAGATATATGTTTGAGACCCTTCAATTAATTCTTTTGGATAAATCCTCAGATGTGGAATTGCTGGATCATATGGTAACTCTACGTTTAATTTTTTGAGGTACCGCCACAATGTTTTCCACAGTGGCTGAATCATTTTACATATCTACCAGAAATGCACAGCAGTTCCAAATTTTCCACGGTCTTACCAACACTTGTTACTTTATTTCCTTCTTTTTTATAATAGTCATTCTATGGGGGCTGGCCCCGTGGCCGAGTGGTTAAGTTCGCGTGCTGCACTGCAGGCGGCCCAGTGTTTCGTTAGTTCGAATCCTGGGCGCGGACATGGCACTGCTCATCAGACCACGCTGAGGCAGCGTCCCACATGCCACAACTAGAAGAACCCACAACGAAGAATACACAACTATGTACCGGGGGGCTTTGGGGAGAAAAAGGAAAAAATAAAATCTTTAAAAAAAAAAATCTAAAAAAAAAAAAAGTAGTCATTCTATGATGTGAAGTGAGTTCAGTGTTGAGTACATGGTACATTTCTTTAATACTCCCAATAGTGCTGTAGGTGATGTGTGTGTGTGCGACAGAAAAAGAAAGAAAGAGAAAGAGAGAGGCGAGAGAGCAACAATTGGGGTAAGCAAGAATCAGACACAAGAACATGAGCAGTCTGGCTACAGAGCCATGCTCTTAATCAATACTCTATAAAGTTGCTCAAGAGGAAGTGGGCTTGCCAAAGGAAGAGACTGTGTCTTATTTACTACTCCTTCCCTAGTGCCTATCATAGTGTTTCCATGTGTGTAAAAAAAAAGAATGAATCTTTCCTGATTTCTATTGAAGGTGAAAAGAGTGCAATGTGATTTTTTTGTACACTGGAGAAAGTACACAACCATATGGTAATTGCTATGCTCAGTGTTTCTAAGTTCCTTACATTTCCCATTTCTCTTCATTCCCAGAAGGGTGAAAAGCAGCATGAGGAGGGAGAACCAGAGCAGTGCGTCCCAGTTCCTCCTCCTGGGGCTCCCCATCCGGCCAGAGCAGCAGAGTGTGATCTTTGCCCTGTTCCTGGGTGTGTACCTGACTACAGTGCTGGGAAACCTGTTCATCATCCTACTCATCAGACTGGACTCTCGCCTCCACACCCCCATGTACTTCTTCCTCAGCCACTTGGCCTTCACTGATGTCTCCTTCTCATCTGTCACCGTCCCAAAGATGCTGATGAACATGCAGACTCAGCAACTCTCCATCTCATACCCAGGGTGTATGTCACAGACGTATTTTTATCAACTTTTTGGTTGTGTAGATAATCTCCTTCTTGCAGTGATGGCATATGACAGGTACGTGGCCATCTGCCACCCTCTCCACTATACCATCATCATGAGGGAGGGGCTCTGTCTGCTGCTGGTGGCTGTCTCTTGGATTCTCTCCTGTGGCAGTGCCCTCTTGCACACACTCCTCCTGGGCCAGGTGTCCTTCTGTGCTGACAATGTCCTTCCCCACTTTTTCTGTAGCCTCTCCATTCTACTCAAGCTGTCCTGCTCAAATACCTCTCTCAATGAACTAGTCATATTCACTGCAGGGGGTGCAATTATAATTTTTCCATTCAGTGGCATCCTGGTCTCTTATGGCTGCATTGGGGCTTCTATCCTGAGGGTCCCCTCTACCAAAGGGATTTGGAAAGCCTTGTCCACCTGTGGCTCCCATCTCTCTGTGGTGTCTCTATTCTATGGAACAATTATGGCACTGTACTTTTCCTCCTCATCAAACAACTCCAATGACACAGACATGATTGCCTCACTGATGTATACAGTGGTGACCCCCTTGTTGAACCCCTTCATCTATAGCCTAAGGAACAAAGACATGATATTGGCTCTGGAGATTCTTTTCAGAAAGAATATCCTTTTAGTCAAGTGAGAATCACCTTACCATGTTCTTATTTCACCCACTGACCTTGTCAGAGAGTCACGTCTGTGGTGCGTTTATTCTTCCATAACCCTAAATAAGGCATTACCCACAACACACATTCATCTTTGTAGTCTTCAAAGGACCATCTCCTTGTTAGTGTGGTGTGTGATTAATCATTCTGAGTAGGTTGCACTACTCTTTTATATTTGCCAGTATAAATATACTTTTATATTTGCTAATATAACAAAACACACCAACCTCCTCGCTAAAATGCTAAACATTATGCTATCGTTTTCTGCTTCCTTTATAAAGATAAAACCAGTTTTGCTTTAGGTTAAGTTCAGAGGTGTGAAACATGATTGTGTTTTGGACTAAGCCGTACCTTCTCACACCCTGAGTTTCTGACTCCCAGGTGGTAGATGGTCAGAATTCTCAAATGTCTTTGGTAGCTCACTTTATCTATAACGAAATGAACATTTGGACCCTCAAACAGAGCCAGTTTAACTTTTGTGGAACATTGTTTTGATAGGTAAAAGAAAAAAATCCCTCAGAAATAGGTACTACAGCTTTTAATTATCACTCACACTGTCATTCTGTTGAAGTAAATGAGATATAAATCAGCTCCTTATTTCCTCTTTCTTCTCTATTGTTTTCCAAAGTTATGAATGTCAAGTAAAGTTTCTAATGTTTAGTTTTAGTAAAGTCTAGAATCCTTACTTTCTTGATGCAGTAGCTAGTTAATAAAGTACTTTTGCTGGTGTGCTAAAGCCCAAAAACCTTAATTTGATTTTGCCTGTAGCAGAAATGTAATAAGAGTATAGAGTGGAGTTAATGCAATTACCAAATTTCCCCACTCTACGAAATCTGTAATTTTTCCCACAAAGTTGAATTTTTGTGGTGAGAACAGCTTAAATCTGTTTGATTAATTTTAGTCTGGGAAAACTAGTGCTGTCTTCTTCCCAAACTGAGAGATCCCATTTCTAATAGGGAAAAGCTAAAACCATGAATTCCTAATTCATGCACACAGAAATATTTACTGCATGAGTACTATATGCCAGACAATTTTCTAACTTCTGAGAAGATGAGTTAAAAAAAAACCCCACAAATCAGACTGCATGCAGAGTTTACACCCCAGCACTCCTGACCCCTCTCATCATGCTCCTTTTTTTCCATAGCAGTGTTTAACTTGTTTAATTTATTGTTATTGTCTCTTTCCTGTAACACAATCTCTACAAAAGATGGGTTTCTGTGTCCGAAATAAAATCTAAGTTTTGATTGTAAGTAAAAACTGCTATGAATAAAGGAAGCATAAAAAGGAGGAGAAAGAGTGCCAGGTGGGTTAATTTAACACTGTGTGGTCCAGGTACAGCTCATTGGGAAGGTAACATCCGAAGATGTTAGAGAGGACAGGTAAGCAAGGCATGGGGCTGTCTGGGAAAAAGCATTCCAGGCATGAAGTTAAACAACTGGAAATACTCTGAGGTGAGATGGTACCTGACTTATTCCAGGAACATTAAGTGTCCTCTGTAGCTGAACAGGGCTGAGTGGGCTAGGGATGGAAGGTGATAAGTTTAGAAATATCAGGGGACCAAGTTTTTAGGACACTTAAGGTCATAGTAGATGTATCAGTCAAGGTTCTCCAGAGAAATAGAACCAATAGAGTGTGTGTGCATGTTTATGTGTATGTGTGTGTCTGTTTGTAGAAGGAGAGAGAGATTTATTTTAAGGAATTGGCTAATACAATTGTGAAGGCTGGCAAGTACCAAATCTGCAGGTTAGGCTGGCAGGCTGGAAATGCAGGAAAAGTTGTAATTTGAGCCAAAGGAAGTACACTGACAGAAATTTCTCTTATTGTTGGGAGGTCAGTCTTTTTCCTAAGGCCCTCCACTGATTGGATGAGGCCCACCCACACTATGGAGGGCCATCTGCTTTAGTCAAGGTCTGCTGATTGCAATGCTAATCCCATCCGAAAAAGACCTCCATATAAACATCTAGAATAGTGTTTGACCAGATATCTGGGTAATATAGCCTAACCAAGTTTACATGTAAAATTAACTATCATAGTAGAGTTTTTGGCTATGAGTTTGGGTGATTTGGGAACCCATTGGACAGTATTCAATAAAAGAATAACATGATCATATTTATTTTTGTTATTGTTTCTTTTTTAAAAAAACACAAAAGAACTCTAGGGCTGGCCCAGTGGCATAGTGATTAAGTTTGCATGCTGTGCATCAGCAGACTGGGGTTCATGGGTTCAGATCCTGGACGCAGATCTACACAACGCTTATCAAGCCATGCTGTGGTGGGCATCCCACATATAAAATAGAGGAAGATTCGCTGTTAGGAAAGATGTTAGCTCAGGGCTAAGCTTCCTCACCGAATAAAACAGAAAAAGAAACAACAACAAAAAATACCCCTCATGTTTTCTGAGGTATAAGTAACATAAAGTAAACTTCATGTATATAAATATACAGTAGTTGAATAGTTTTGACATATGTATATCCCTATGAAATATTACCACAAACCATCAAGATGTTGAAGTTTCTCCATGCCTACCCTCCTGCTCCCTCTTTGCTCCTCCCCTCTGTCCCCAGAGGGATCACTGATCTGTTTTCTGTCACATAGATTCATCTTCAACTTCTAGGAGTTTGTCTAAATGGAGTGATACAGTATGTATTCTTTTATTGTTGCATTTTTTCAGTTAGCATAAGTGCTTTGAGATTCACCTATGTTGTAATATATAGCAACAGTTCATTCTTTTCATTGCCGAGTAGTGTTTCATTGTATAGATATGCCAAGGCATTTTTGTCCATTCACCAGTTGATGGATATTTGGGTTGTTTCCAGTTTTGGCTTATTAAATAAAGCTGTTATAAACATTCTTGTGTCAGTCTATGCATAGAAATATACATTCTTTTTCTTTGGGCAAATAAGAAGTCATATTCTAGGTATATATTTAACTTTCAAGGAAATTGTAAAACTGTTTTTCAGAGTAGTAGCACCATTTTACATTCCCATCAGCAGTGTATGAGGGTTCCAGTTTCTTCATAGCTTCAACAACACTTGATAGCAGCACTGCTTTCATTTTTAGCCATTCAAATAGGTGTGTAGTGGTGTATACTAGTTTATATTTCTTGGAGCCACTTGATTGGAAGCATGCCTTGGCTTCTTTAGAGAAACAACCCTGTAACATTGGGTAGTGTTTTTGAACTTCTCCTTGATTCTTCCTATTCCCATTCCTGATATTTATTACACCTCAGCATTTTTAACTATTTACCTACTATTTCGTTTGAATTTTTTTTTCTGCAATCCCCCCTTGGATACATGTTCCATGAGAGGGATTTCTGTTTATATTATTCACTGCTACATCGTGAGGGCATATATCAGTGTCTTACTTTTGTGAGATCCTTTATCATTATTTGTTAAGTGATTGAGTGAATGAACAAAAGAATTTATTCAACAATTACCAAGTGCCTATTGTAAGCCATAGCTGATCCCTAGTGATACTGCAATTAAAAAAATTTAAAAATTAAAAAATAGTTTGAAATTTATGAATGAAATATCAATATTTACACTTTTATCATCCACCATTCTTTTTACCCTATTCCCAACCCACTCCTATAAGTAACCATTTCTGTTAGCTTATTAGTTCCTTGTTTATACTTCCTGTGTTTCTTTTATACATATATATAGGAAACCTTGTAAGCAATAAACATACCTAACATATTTTCTCTTTAAGTACAATTCTTCTCTAAAAGGAACCCAAGTTACTTAGAAAGATGGATGTTTCCATGACCAGAAATACAAAGAAGATCTGGGAAAGTTTTGTTGAGCCTGAAAGTAAGGAATCAGTCAATGAATCCTGGGGACACAGGAGTCAGCTCAAAGGGGCTGCCCCTGGCAAATATGGAATAATTTCAGCTTCGAAAAGAATAACAACAAACCAACAAACACATAGAGAGGGAGAACAGATTGGATGTTATCAGAGGGAAGGGAGTGGGGTGAGGGCAAAATGGGTAAAGGGACACATTTGTATGGCGATGGATGGAAATTAGACTGTTGGTGGTGAACATGGTGCAGCCTATCCAGAAGCTGAAATATAATAATGTACACCTTGAATTTACACATTGTAACAGACCAATGATCTCAATGGAATTATTAAAAAAATAAAAACAAGGGGCTGTCCTGTGGCCTAGTAGTGAAGTTCGGCGAGCTCCACTTCAGCAGCCTTGGTTCAGTTCCCAGGTGCAGACCTACACTACTTTTCAGCAGCCATCCTGTGGTGGCAACTGACATACAAAACAGAGGAAGACTGGCACAGATGTTAGTTCAGGGCAAATAATTCTTAAGCAAAAGGAGGAAGATTGGCAACAGATGTTAGCTTAGGGCAAATGTTCCTCAGCAAAAATAAAAGAAAAAAATAAGAGCAATAACCATAATGGATTATGACTCAGAAACTAACTGAGAATATATGACTCTATAATGCTATAATAAATTAGTAAAAAACATACATGATAGAGAAATAACACTTCTCTCTTACAGAGAACTAATACATGTAGAATGATTGAAGGAATGAGAAATATCACCATTTGGCCACCACAATTACAATAATTGTTTCAAGCAAGTATCACTTGATTCTTATGAAGTATGACATACATAATGGTTGAAATTTTATCATATCTACCCATTATATTTATTAATTTGAAAGATAAAAATGGTAACTTTGTAGTAAGAAAATCTGATAGACACCACCTTAATCAATTGACCAAGATTAAAATTGCTGGCAGTTGGGGCCCGGGCCCGTGGCAGAGTGGTTAAAGTTCTGTGAGCTCTATTTCAGTGGCCCTAGTTGATGGGCTCAGATACCCAGTGTGGACCTATTCCACTGATCAGCCATACTGTGGAAGTGTTCCACATACAGAAAAATAGAGGAGGATTGGCACAGATGTTCGCTCAGGGCTAATCTTCCTCAAGCAAAAAAAAAAGAGGAAGATTGGCAGCGGCTGTTAG